ATGTATTCCACTCTGATGATCACATAGTCAATACTCAATACTACTCATGTAAAAATGGGGCCTTTTTTATGTATGTATTCTGCTCTGATCTTTTCCTTTTCCTTACCTATGATGCTTAGGTTCGAGCAATGGTGATTATAAATCCAGGAAATCCCACTGGCCAATGCCTTAGTGAAGCAAATATAAAGGAAGTTCTTCAATTTTGCTACCATGAAAACTTAGTTCTGCTTGCAGATGAAGTGTATCAGCAGAACGTTTTTCAAGATGAGCGCCCATTTATAAGCGCAAGAAAGGTACTTTTGTTTTCTGACCAATGACTCTTTGTCATGAACTCATGGTTGCAACTTGACTTAAGCTTATGGTTTTCATCTGACAATCCTATAATATTGGGCTCACCAAAACATCCCTTAGAACCAAATATGGACAATATATTAAGAACTAAAATAAAAGATTATCTCTCTAACATGGTACATTAAAAGATTGTTGGGAATTCCAAAACTCGCTGCTGATGTTGCCTTTCTCGACTTTTTCCAGGTTATGTTCGACATGGGTCCGCCACTAAGCAGGGAGCTTCAGCTTGTTTCTTTCCACACTGTGTCCAAAGGGAACTGGGGAGAGTGTGGACAACGTGGTGGATACTTTGAAATGACAAATCTTCCTCCCAAGGTAATATTTCATTGCAGCATGTCAGAATGTCACTTGTCCCAAGTATCATTGAAAAGTTCCTAGCTACGTAAAGTCAATGAGACAATGAGTGTATGAAAAGATGTAAATGAGATATTCGAAAATATTGAATTGTTCACACCCAGCTGCAAACACATTAAGTAAACTGCACAGCATAATTAATTGGCCATGCTGTGCCGTTTAACTTTGTTAATTGTGAATATCTTGCACAATGCAATTTGGGCCAATGCTCCATCCAACTGACTAGAGTGCAGTTATTACATTTGTTGCATCAGTGTCTTACTTTTACCAAAGTCTCCTTTGACAAACTTTCGGAAACTTTAGAGTAATCAGTAGGGTCTACTGGAGTTACATATTTATGCCACCTCGATGTACATTTACAACTGGTTTCCTTGTCCAGTCTAAACTGCAGAGTAGTGTTAAACGCTCTGGAAACCTTTAAACTTTGTCAGTTAAGATTCTCCCTTTAAACAAGCTAGGCACTTAAATAAGGCTTATGCTAGACTCTATTGTACAAAAAGGCACTTTGAAGGTCATTTTCTAAATATAATGTTCAAGGTCTGATGCTAACCACTATGTTTATTTGAGCTTGCAGACAGTAGATGAGATCTACAAGGTTGCATCAATAGCACTGAGTCCAAATGTTCCTGGGCAAATTTTTGTAAGTGAAACACTGCTCAATGTTTGATTCTTTATTATTTTTCCCTTCACTAAACCCGGTACTCTGTTTTGGAATGACATATGTTTGGATTCATCTCGGGACCTCAATTAGAAGTTTTCAAATTCAAATTATGTCAATCACTGATTTTATTCATGAAGCATCAAGCAAATTTCTATGGATCAGTATAGTTATGGGATGCAGATAATTGATTGAGCATCTTAATAATCTCTTCTTTTTTGTGGTTTGTTTACTGACAAGTTTGTTCGCTCACGTTAACCTGGAATGCTGTACAGGTTATTACTGTATGCATTTTTTTCATTCTTTGGACCTACACAAATTTTTCTTAACCTAATTCAGTTCAATCTATGCTAATTTGCTTGAAACTTCGTTTCTTTGCTTTACCAAATTACAAAGCAGTTCTGAATAGCTGCTTCTGGAAAAAAGGGGGTTCTGAATAAGTTTTCCTTTTACAGATGGGAGTAATGGTTAACCCTCCTAAACCTGGAGATATCTCATACCCCAAATTCGCTGCTGAAAGGTTAAACATACTGCCCCTCAGAAGTTTTAGTCTGCATCCAGTTTCAGTTGAAAAATGAAACTATGCGGGATACTGAATACTTATTTGTCTTTTTTGTACATTCTTAAGTTTGATGTTTGATGTGGCTCCAAATGATGTTGCAGCAAGTCCGTCCATGAATCTTTGAGGAGGAGAGCACGCATGATGACAGATGGTTTCAACAGTTGCCGAAATGTCGTGTGCAATTTCACAGAAGGTAACATCAAAATTCTAAATGATTTGCAGCAATTAGAGTATGGTCATTGCTTACTTACTAGATTCTCTTGCAATTGATTGTGTTGTTGCAGGAGCTATGTACTCTTTCCCCCAAATACGGCTGCCACCAAGAGCGATTGAGGCAGCAAAAAGAGCCGGCAAAGCAGCAGACGTTTTCTACTGCCTCAAGCTCCTGGAGGCAACAGGAATTTCCACTGTTCCAGGCTCTGGTTTTGGGCAAAAGGAAGGGTAAGTGATTTTTTTATATGATGACTTATCTGTGATGTATAACGTTTCATAAATTTAAGACCTCAGAACGGAATATATATATAGTTTGTGTCACTGAAAAAAAATGAAGAGAATGAAGCGTAGCTTTTTGTCAAAAAAAAAATGACGCGTAGTTGAATCTGCTGCCCCTGACCTTCATCCAGTTTTTTATATTCTTATCAGTATCTTCTGAGACATATTACTTTGATTTTCTTCTGTGATCTGTAAATAACAACAGAGTAGAAAATCTGAGAGGACGTTACTGAAGTGGTGGACTTGTTGTTTTTCTCTGAACACAGGGTGTTCCACCTTCGGACAACTATCCTTCCAGCGGAGGAAGACTTCCCTGCCATCATGTCGAGCTTCAAGAAGTTCAATGACTCATTCATGGAGCAATACGAGGGCTACTCCAGGATGTGAACAAGAGCAGAAAACAAGATACTAAAGGATGGGCTGAGAGATTCGTTGTTCCAGTCTCAGCACGATGGAGCATTTCTGAAGAGATGATGAATTCAAAGTTAATTAGTTGTAACTCTCTTAAAAAGAAGCAACTGCCTCCTTTGATGATATGTATAGGGAACAGAAGTTCTGCGGGTTATTACTGAATAACAGTCCGCCATTTGCTTCTACTGCCATAGTATATAATAATTGTCTTGTACCTGCTGGAAGATGTATGCTGCTGCTGCTGCTGTTGGACCATTATGCCATACAACTATCACAGTTGACAACAGTCTATATGCCTGCAAAGCTTGTTTGCTCCCTCCATTCCAATATCCATAGGACTAATGGGAGGGAGAGGGTTGTCTGCTGGTTGCTCAATCTGCGCATGGATCGCGCGGCAAATTGACTGCTGGTTGAACTGTCCTCTTATAACTGCTGGAATTTGTTGCTTCCTCCAGCACAAAATTACTGTTGCTCAGTTGGGGAGTTTGGTTTTGGTGTGGCTACTAGATGTTGTTTTGGTTGTATTTACAGTGCTAGCCTGTTGTTGCGCCAACAAACATATGCGCCCTATTATATTGGTTGCTTGGTGGTTTCAGAAATTCAGAGAGACTGAACAGGCGTATAACCAATTCAGATTTCAGAGACCACCAAGTGTGTCTTATACATGTTCTGATGACATCGTGGGGCTGGAGCAGTGAGTTGTGAAATTGTAGGCGAATGCTCGCAGCACAGATATAATGATGGTTTGATTTGATCACGCAGACAGGCGTTGATTAAAAATTTGATGGTGCTCGATATCTCTGACTTGTGACTTTTTGAGGCCAAAATTTTCATGTCGGCCAAGGTCCTGACCCATGTGTGTACCTGTAGTACCTATCAAGTCAGCTGCCCCTCCTCCTGGCCTGGGTCAAGTTGCACTTCGGATTTTCAGTGTATAGTCATGGCTGCAAGAGTCTTGCTACAGGTATAGATTTTCAGTATATTTCTAGCCGATGCTGCAGTAAACAGCCGCAGCCGCAGGGCTGCGAGAAGTGCAGCCGAGCAAGCTGAATGGAATTCTTGTACTAATTGATCATTTCATGCTAAGTAAAGCAGAGTGGGATTACAGTATATTCCAGTGTACTAGCTAGTTGATTCGTCAAAAAAAGTGTACTAGCTGAATGCTAGTTTGTTGGGGAGCAAGGAATGCACGAGAACATGTCACTATGTCAGATTGTTCCGGCTGGTGTATGAATGAATATATATAGGAAAAAATTCATTTTTGGCCCACTAATTATGGCTGCAGTTTGTTTCTAGTCCTCTCACTCGAAAACCAGACACGCGTAGTCCCTTAACTCTCAAAACCATTTAAAATTGGCCCTCGCGTCTATTCGACCGTGCTTTCGGCCCAGTCAACCCACCACGACCGCGGTTTCGGCCTAGTTTCCATGTCTGACAAGCCGGCTCCCCATCGCAAGCTTCAATCGTCTCGGTGCTTTCAGCCGCAGCCGAGGCTGAGGTCGAAATCGACGCCATCGGTGACCGCCTCGACGAGCTCCTGTCCAGCGCCTCACCGTCGTCCTCCCCCACCGGCGTCGGCAACGCCACCACGGACGCGCTGTCATTAGCGCGGACGACGACGGCCTACATCCCGGCCAACTTCGCCATCCTGTCGCACCACGCGTGATCACCCTGAGCCTGGGCACTGAACTCAGGCCGCCGTGTTCGTCTTCGAGTCCGCCGCCATGAAGGCCGCCGCGGACGCCGCCAGGCCGGGCGTCGTCCCGCTCGGCGACGTCAGCCGCCGCCTCATCCGCGCGGCTCCGGGAAACCCCGAGATGGCGCGCTTCCAGTTCCGCAAGACTCTGGCTAACTGCGAGTCTTGAACTGCGACTAACTCACCGTGCATACATATTTTTGTTATATATTTTGACCATTCCCTATTGTTGCTGGGGCCCTCCAGTGTCTGGTCTGCTGGTGGCTTTATATATAGCCTATAGTGAATTCCTATATATAGCACACTGCAGTTGGTTGGCGTGCAGAGTAGAGACGAACGAACGGAGCACACACAATACCATTCCAAAAAGCCATCGATAGAATTGAAATTGTAACTGCTGCTACATCTATAGAGAAGCAAAGCAAGCTAGCATTTCTTCCATCTCTCTGTCCATCTACTAGTAGCTAGCAATAGCAATGGGTGAGGAGGCAGCTGCTCCGTTGCTGGTGCGGGGCAACGATGGTGACGATCTCCGCCTCGACCTCACCCACACCATCATCCATGGAGATGGAGATGATCAGCGGAAAGCTGCAGGAGAGGCGGCGTCATCGGCAACGTCGAGGCATGCGGTGCTGGGGTGGGACTGGGCAGAGGTGACGGGGCAGCTGGGCTTCGCGGCGCCCATGGTGGCCACCAGCATGGCCTACTACGCCATCCCGCTCGTCTCCGTCATGTTCGCGGGCCGCCTCGGCGACCTGCAGCTCGCCGCCGCCACGCTAGGCAACTCCTGGGGCACCGTCACCGGCATCGCGCTCATGGTACGTACGCCACATCTCTATATATAGCAAATTTAATCAATTCGGCTTCAAAATTAGAACTTTTTTACATACAAATATAACAAACAATCCACCGAAATTTCACACAGACCGGGCTGAGCGGGTCACTGGAGACGCTGTGCGGGCAAGGGTACGGCGCGCGGGCGTACCGGACGTTGGGCGTGCACCTGCAGGCTTCCCTGCTCACCTCGGCGCTGGCCTCCGCCGTCGTCTCCCTCCTCTGGCTCTACTCGGAGCCGCTGCTGGTCTTCCTCGGCCAGGACCCGGAGACGTCGCGCCTGGCGGCCGACTTCCTCCGCCACTCGGTGCCCGCGCTTCTCGCCTACGGATTCATCCAGTGCGCGCTCCGGTTCCTGCAGGCGCAGTCCGTGGTGGCGCCGCTCGTCGCCTTCTCGCTGCTCCCGCTGGCAGCGCGCACGTCGGCGTCGCCCACGCGCTCGTCAACGTGCTCGGCATGGGCTTCGCCGGCGCCGCCGTGGCAACCTCCGTCTCGCTCTGGATGTCGTTCCTCATGCTCGCGGCGTACGTCATGTTGTCGGCCAGGTTCAGGGAGACCTGGCCGGGGCTCACAACCGAGGCCTTCCGACACGTCCTGCCTGGCATGAAGCTCGCCATCCCTCCGCGGTCATGGTCTGGTTAGTCTGATGATCTCCTCACACATTGTCAGATGTCAGCTACTCAAATTCGTGGTGGTTTTGAGATGATGTTTTTTTTGCTGAATATATGAAAATGGCATGCATGCAGCTTCGAGTACTGGTCGTTTGAGATCCTGGTTCTGTTTGCTGGGCTGATGCCGGAGTCTCAGCTCAGCACTTCCATCATTGCAATGTGGTAAGTACATTTCAATTTGATTAAAAATCCTGTCTTCATGTCTTCTTTACAATATATTAAGTAGTGATGTGGCTATTTCTATTTGACAGCCAAAACACTGAAGCCATATCATACATGATCACCTATGGCTTCGCCGCTGTCATCAGGTATTTGTTACTCTACTAGTCATGCCAGCTTCTTTCTTTGAAGCTGCTGACAATATTCATGCATCATCAGCACAAGGGTGTCCAACGAGCTGGGAGCCCGGAACATCGCCAACGCGAAGAAGGCGCTCACCGTGTCGCTGGCGCTGTCCCTGATGCTGGGGGTGGTGTTCCTGCTGCTCCTGGGCCTCGGCCACGAGCTGTGGGCGCGGCTCTTCAGCAGCAGCAAGGCCGTGGTGAGCGCGTTTGCGTCCATGACGCCGCTGCTCATCGGCTCCGTGGTGCTGGACTCCACGCAGGGTGTCCTGTCGGGCGTCGCGAGAGGGTGCGGGTGGCAGCACCTGGCGGCCTGGACCAACCTGGTGGCCTTCTACGTCATCGGCTTGCCCCTCGCCATCCTCTTTGGCTTCACGCTTGGCCTCCAAACCAAGGTATGTATCTATCTAAATAATGTGCAGTGCAGTCTTCCTAGCTATATATTCTTCTGAATGAATGAATTTCTTGAATCATGCTTGCTACAAACACTAATATCAAATCGAACCGAACCGAACAGAGTCGAGACTTTGGATTTGGGAGAATGTTTTTGTTTACTCACCAGTGATGTACTAATGTCTGTTGCAGGGGCTGTGGATGGGGCAGATATGCGGCCTCCTCTGCCAGAACTGCGTCCTCTTCTTCATCACCCTGCGAACCAACTGGGAGGAGTTAGACCTGACCATGTTCAACAAGGACAACGATTTCGTCTGCTGAGGATCCAGAAAGAGGCATGCTAGTTTCCATGTACTTTTTGCTTCTTCTGTTGTTGACTTGTTGAACCCTGAGCAACAGGCTTGACAGAGCTGTCTAATGTTTGCTCATGAGCCATCATAGTGTAACACTACAGATTGTACTAGTAATACAATATACCGAAGCAACTTACCCTGAGGAAAATGCGTCCATCAATGCCTGTAAAACTGATGTTCACTTGTAAAACAGAGTCGTTGGAAGTGCTATGGACTGTGCAAAGTTTCAGAGGGCATCGCAGTGCCAAATGGACAAGGAAGCACAGACTTCAGCATACCATTAGGCATCAAAATGACAATTTCCAACGCTCAGCAAAATGTTGGTTCAATCTTTTTTCTAAGCAAGCACTAGTTTCAAAATGAACAACTGTACATCCATTCCAGGAACTAACAGGAAGCGGAGTTTCAGTACCATCTTCCAGATGGGCCCACAAAACTTTACATCTACTACTAACTTTAGAGCTACTAACTATTCCTTACTCAAGATCTGGAGAACATGAAGGCCACCAGTCTCTCAGATATAGGCCAGGTAACAACAGAAAAACAAAACTAGTTCAGGGAAAAATGTGCATCATGTACACTTTCAGGGCACTGCAATGCTATATTCCCTAACACTCACAAGAGCGTGGACTTGCAAACCACATTCTCACTATTCCATGTATGGTACACTGGACCAACATCTCATCAAGTCCTTAACAAAGCATATGGCACACAACCATCTTTCATTCTAAGGAAAGGAAAACTCTGTTCCTAGCTAGACAGGTTATCCATCTATCACTAAGAGTAACATGCCTAATTCCTATCGAGACTGCATATCCTAGGTAATGTCTGACTTCCAAAGACAACGTTCTTCATTCAGTCCAGAGCTCCAGCAAACCCAGTATGTTCAGTGGTCTCGTGTTCTTTCAGAATACAGCCACCATTTGCTCCAGCCTCCACGGCTCCAAGTTAGTAGTGTAGTAGTACTAGTCCAGAATCGGATCACTCAAGTACCATGCATATAAAACAGCCCAGCATGTGATCCCAACCAAGCTCCCCAGCTGTGGTTTAGATCAAACAGCAAAGAACTGCACAAGTCATGGCTGCTTTCGGGCCAACAAAATGCCGTGAAGAGAGTGTCCGCCATGCTCTGTGCAAATAGTAGCTCCCCTGTTTTGATGCTCCAAATGCGAACAGTGCAGTCCTCCCCACCTAGCAATGAATGGGCATGTTTTGTGAAATGAGGATTTCATGCCCTTGAAATAGGCATTGTAATTTACTAAATCCACGTACAAACCAACTAGTACACAAATAATTTCGTAAATCACAATTCAACCTAGACAATCTGTAATTCAACATTAATCTATATCCCTTGGTGACATTATCATGCAGCATTTCAGAAATCCAGATGCAGCCATGCAGTAAGCCATAACCCTTCCACTACAGCAGTTGATAGATTTAGGTCATCAAGTGAGAATGCAAACAAACTACTGTGTAAGTTTCTACTGATCAATAACCACTTCAAGCAAAATATAGAGCTTAAATAACACAAACTATTGCATAAGCTTCAAAGAGCATCCCCTAGCACTAAATGGCAAAAAACATAAACACTTATTTACACATACACAGCTAAAAATGAACAAACCTGACATAAGTAAGGTCTCAGATGGATCAACAACAATTGGTAAATGTGTGTGTGAGTTCACATGCCCCTCATACGACTGTATACCTCCCTTCTGAATGAGACGAAGATCGAAGAGTTTGATCTGTACAACAAAATAATTTTAAGTCAACTTCAAACTCTTAATCATAAAGAGGTGCAAAAATAGGAGACAATAATTTTAGATAAGATAACTAATAAGTAATAACTAGTTCACAGCGATGGACGCTATTTGCCCTCAAAATATTTGAAATATCCATGTCCAATTTATTATTCAATCAATGGTGTTTTATTTCAATATATGTGCCTGTCATTGTAATAAAGATGAACCAAAAATCCGTGAAATTAACTTCATGCATGATATTCAAGTGTCAAATTTCAAATCTGGCACATTACATGATTACAACAGATAAGTGGGAAAAGACTAAACACAACTCTAATTAAAATATTGTTACTGCATCGATGTGTGGTGTCATCAAACAATTCTAGTTTTGGAATAAAGCAATCCTAGCAGATTCCGAGCAAAGTGTGTGCTTGAGAGTTTGTCACCTAATCTAGCTAGAGCTCTTTTGCTCGCTAGTGAGGATTTCTATCTTTGGAGTTTAACCAGCGCTAGAGGCGTTTCAATCCTCCTTGCCATTGTTGAGTTGAGTTTTTTAGGTCATGTCGTTTTTACCTTGGGCAAAGGCGCTATTGTTGTATGCGTGTGAGTTTGTGTTGAGTTCGTGCGGATTTGTAAGGGCTCTCACCCCTTTTTTCTCTTCTTAATATAATGATACACAGCTCTCCTCTGCATGTTCGAGAGAAAAAAAAAATCTTGCTCATAACACTAAAAAATGATCCGAGTATAACTTACAGATCCATCCATGGAGCTTCCTAAGAAGTAGTTCTCATCTGATGAGAGTGTAACCAAGCTGTGCAACAATGTCAGTTTCAGTACTAGGGAACATAAACATTGTCCAGCACTAAGGAAAGAACATTAGTGTTACCTACAAACTGCTGACGACATAGAAATAACTCTTGAAAATTTATCCATGCCAGCCTGCACGACAAGTTTCCAAGAGACAACAATAGCATCACAGTGGCAAAATTATGCATTCAAAATAAATAAATATATTTCCCATCATACATTTTTATTGTAGCTCTATGTCAACTAGGAGGAACCTAACTTGACCAGTTTAATAGATGGTGATTCACAGTGGCTACAGTAAACACCTGTTACAGAATTGAAATTGAAATATCTAAATTTTTCCAATCCCTTTAATCATTTAGGATGTCATGTGAACACAGTGCTCTAAAAAATTGCTCCACCTGCACTGTGAGTATGACCTCTGACACAATAAGCCTATAAAACAGAGAAGTCAGCATATAGATCTTGGACCTATCCTGTCATGTGCCCTAGATAACCACTTCAACAAACGAATCAACTGATTCCATGTGGCAGACATGTATGGTAATAATGGATGTTGTTTACTAGTATTACACACCTGGTTTCTCTTCTTCCCAGCATGCCTAGTGGGCAGAATGGGAACTGTCCTCCTAGCATTGCTAGATGAAGCCACTCCAGTAGGCTGATTATGCTGCTTTTGCCGTACATCAACAGGGGCTATACTCCCATTCCGTAGACCACATAGCACAACTTTCCCCTTGATAGAGTGAGAAAATTCAGTGAGCATAGCAGAGACAGGAATAGCATGTCATAGTAAATTCCGAATTAATCATAACACAGATACAGGATCAACAAGAAAGAATAAAATCCATATTACTTAGTTCTGCAGATTATCACATATGCTGCAATAGGAATGGCCACATCGGTAGCATATTGCTTTCCTTTCAAAACTTTGAGAATCATGTAGTCATGCATTAGACACCACCAAATTTAAGCTAATTGAGAAGTGGGAGCAAAAGGTTGAGGCAAGCAAAATTTTCAGTAACTCTCATTTGACAACAAACCATAACAATATCTGAACCAGTTAAAACTACAAAGTGAGAAGAAGTTTATGTAGATTTAGATTATTACCGAGTGCACAAATTTCAGGGAAAGAACGTCACTTTTAGATCGACATAGCCACGATAATCCCCTTGTTTCCAAATCGAGTAGACCGGCACCAATGTCTGAACCTAGAAATAAGATGAACAAGTGAAAAGTAAATCCCAAGCGAAAAGGATGCTGTATTGTGCCAGTAACATAAGCAGGCTGCGAATTGCAAAAACTGTAAGAATGAGAACATCTTGTTATGACAATTAAATTAATTCCTCCAACTATAGAAATGACTAACCTTTAAATTGAAAAAAGGCATCACAAGAACCAAAATTAACTGAGTTATGGTGGAAGAAAAGTATATAGGTATACAAGTACCAAAACAAGAAGGTCACTATATGGATTCAATACTCAACTGTCAAGTTTAAATCCTCAAAGAATTTCAGGAATGCTGATTCAGTAGCAAAATTGTCAGTGAACGCATCCAACTTGATAGAGTTATGTAACACAAAGTTAAAACAGAAACAAGTTACAAAAATAGTGTATCTATGTGCAAGTGAAATTTTATTTATCTCCTACATTTAAGCTCTGACTCAGTGAACTCACCGAAAGCTGCATGTGTGCCATCAGAACTACAATCAGCTGTCCACATTGTACGATCAAGTGAATGAACTCTATAGGTAGTCCATGATCCCATTGCCGAGTCAATAGCTTCAGAAAGATCCATAATATATATAGAGCCGCCAGATTCTCCAGATCCAAGAGTAGCCACCATGTTTCACAATGTCAAGGGACCCAAGCTCACAGCATATTTCCAGTTAACACTAAAGAAAACAGAATGCAAAACATGTGCAACTATGGCGACACCAAATATATAGATAGTACAGTAAGTAACGAGTTTAGGATACAATGCTCGCTGAACTGATGAATTGGTGTTGGATGCATCAGGGACACGACGTCCAAGCTTCTTTATACATGATATACTGGATGGGAAAGTTGTGTAGCCTACTTCAGATGACCAAATGCTGGGGAGTGCGCCTGCCTTGTGCTTTCCTGCAGGAGTCCAAGCAGGTTCGGGCAAAAACTCTGCCTCATTCTCAAAGTTATTCAGAGCAGTCCCTAATCCATATAACCTGTGAGAGGATTATAGGAAAATGTACCATTGCATTTGACATCAGTAAGGCCATGAGCTCATGCTCTTACAAAGAAGTGAGAACAATTGAAGATGAAACAGATCGACTGATTGAAGGATAAATAAACAGCACATGTTTACTTAGAGCGACCAACAGTCTAAGACGAAAGACAATTTGTGCAAGCAGACAATACAGTAGCATGACAATTTGTGCAAGCAGACAATACAGCGGCTGTGACATGGTGATACCAAGATAGGCTCAACAAAGGCTTGCATACTACAATTTCAGTCTCAGGCTACATATGGTAATGTCATAAATCTACATAACTGGAACAAAAATAAAAACAGATCGATTCAAATACTAGATAGTAAATAGAAACAGATGCGAATGAAGACTCTTACCCAATCAAACCATTCATGCTGCCGGTGACTACCATCCTGGACTCTTTCAACCCTTGCGGTGTCTGAATCATGGCGTCCAATTGTTCGAGCGCCTTATCAGCCACAGAGGTGGTGGCTTGGTACTTCCAGACCTGCCAGCCGCACAATGATGAAAGATTACAGAGTATAACAATACTGTAACGCACAAAAAACAATCAACGGAGTAAGTAGCTCGGGCAATCACCATGGGTTGAGACGCCTGCGCGTAGTGCCACTGCTGCTTGAACGTGGACCTGGCGGCGCTATTGGAGAAGATGACCCCGCCGCCGTGCATCTCCCTAGCGCTGAGCAGCTCGGGCCGCCTCGCCCTCTTCCTGCTGCATCCCGTTGTGTCCGCGGGCAGCGGTGGCACTGCGGGAGCGGGAGGGGGACAGCGGCGGACAGCAGCGCCCGGGATGGGGGCCCTGATTGGGAAGTAGCGATTCTTCTCTGGGTCGTAGTAGAACCCCGGCAGCTCTGCAGGCAAGCGGTCGTCGTCTCTCGACTTCAGAGAAGCGCGGGGAGGGGTAGGACAATAGGAGGAGAAGGAGAAGAGGACGGACCTTTGGGCGGCATGTCGCCGGCGCGGCGGTTGGAACGGCGAACCGAGGGGCGGCGGCGTCGGCGGTGGAGCGGTTCGAGAAGCAAGGCGAGGAAGGAGGAGAGGGCCCAGGGGCGTGGGCCACTTTTATCTTAGCAGGCCGTGCCGGAACGTGCCCATATATGTGTGACGATGTTAAATATTTTTTTTTATGAAAAGCACATTATTTTGCTGTAAATCAATTTGCTACCGTGGCTACTTCCTGCTGCTATGATCCAAACTCATCTTCAAGCTGCACCTGCACCAAACATCTTTGATTCTCGAGGGGAACAAGAACATATTTCCAATTCATTGACAACACAAAGCGAAAACGGAAAAAACACTTATGTTTAAATCAGGGGCGAAGCCAGGCGAAACTGGCGCCGGGGTCAGGAATAATGTATGTTGGGGTCTCTCTCTTTAGAGAACAGTGTAGAACAGTAATTGTCACTAAGTTTGCATAAATTCACCGGGGTCAGCTGACCCCAACAGCAAAGCGTAGCTTCGCCCCTGGTTTAAATTTCGGTTCCACCACACCTTTGTTCATCAGCATTTGAAGTAGCAACCAGGCACAGGAAACAAAAAAAGGCAGCCGGAAGCATCTAATGCTCAACAGTTCATGACGCAGCAAGCAAGCTGATCTGATGCTCCATGCGCACACAACCCACAAGACTAACAGTCAAACAAAGCAGAACGACAATAAAGCAGCAATGAACATCTCTTGAAACAGGATTCATTCCAGTATCTGACATCGTTTCAGGCACAAAAGGCACATCTGCACTCTGCAGTGTCTCTGCAACATCTGCTTGCTACAAGGTAGCCACTGCATGTCTAAGTAAAGAATATAATTTATATATGCCAACAGCAATAGATGCGTATGACAGAGTTTCAGTATTGGACGGCAATTTTGCTGATTACAATGACCCAATCCCAGGAAAATTAATAGCTTTGCTGTAGAAACAGTTTATTCAGTTGAACAACAGATATGTCATGTTTTAACAAGTGTCAATGCTTCTGTCGGCCATCAAAACTGCAATTTAGGGCGATATATTCTTGGCCAAAGATATCCAGATTCCAGAAGACGTGTATACTGTGTACTCGTGGTTCATAAAAAATAGGTATATCCTGCCAAAACCTATAGTGCAGACAGTAAAACTAATGAATTATATATTCTTGGCGTTTGGCGTTTTCAGCGCTGCAGTTTCCTCCTTGCAAGGGCTGGGTTCTTCTTGGGTATGTAGACCTTGTAGCTGACCTATAAAAACAGAGAGAAAAAGGAATTAGATTGGATGAATATAGTTTCAGCATGACAATTCAAGGCACCTGAAGCCACAGTGAAGATCTGTTCCTCACCTCCACTGCCTCTCCATCATGCATTCTAGAGAAAGTCTTCTTCTGAAAACCATCTTTATCCTCAATCCTAGCCTGGCTCCTGTCCTCGGCAGGTGACAATACAGAGCCGTTAGAGGTTGGAGCTTCACTTGTTTTTTTGTCCTCTCCATTTGTTCCTTCAGCCTTGTCAGTGTCATTCAGAGGGAGTCCAACTTTGCTACTGCTTTCAACAGGGGAAGAATCCTCACTGAGCCTAGGGGGTGTAGTATGTGTGCTACCATCAAGCCTTTCCCTATTGGGTATGCTCACAACTGATCTAATCCTTGGAGCTCCATTGACATGATTCAGCCCTGCACTGCTTCCTAACCTTTGATTTACACTAGCAGAACTACCTGGAGGGGGCACCAGCCTTTGCATTATTACACTGCGACCATTCCTAGCATCCACTGGTGACAAAAACTGAGAAGCCAAACGAGTTGATTCTACCGCTCTTCCCTTCAGTTGAGTTGGGCCACCAGTCTCAGCAGGCTCAAGTGTTCCAGGTGATCCACCCCCATAACTCAAGCCAGCACTGTTTTCCTGCTTCCAAGAATGACTTGCACCATTCCCAAAATTATGTGATCTAGGTGATCCAGCAGAATGTCTGGCTCCAAGCCTGCTTCCCTGACTCTGAAAATGGGCTGCTTCAGCAACCTTTGTGCCAGCATTCTTTAGGCTATCATCTGTTAATGCTTCCTTCCCTGCAGCTCCATTATCTGTTTTGCCTCCCATGGTCGCTGCTGCCCTGAACTTTCTGAAGTTCTCAAGAGCTTTCTGCCTAAGAATCAGCTCCAGATCCTGAGCATCTGAATTTCCACCACTGGCAGGTACAATCTCTTCTGTTTCATTGGCATTCTTGGAAGGTGAGCTCTCCAATTCTGAATTCTTCTTGTACCTGTCAATATCATTGTCCGCCTCCTTGGCAATGGCAAGTCTGCCTTCATCCTTATCATCCTCATCCACGTTCATGTCAGACCAAGAAGAACGGCGATCGGTGTAGTCCTTTTCCATCTTATCCCTTGTAGTGCCACCCTTAGTGCTACCAACAGTTCTCCGCTTCATGCTCTTGCTCTTGCTCCTACTCCTGCTCCTGCTCCTGCTCCTGCTCCTGCTCCTACCACTACTTGCTGAGGTGCTAGACGAACTTGCCGATCTCTGCAGCTTTCTCCCCTTGCGATCCCTCTCTCTGTCCCTCCCCCTCCCCCTCACTTTTTTCTTCCTAACATCTCTGGACCGGCTCCTGGGCAGCGGGCTCACCGACCTCTCTGAGGCGCTGCTGCTGCTACATGAGGAGCCACTGCGTCGAGCTACTGAGGAAGGGCTGCTGCTGAGGCTACGGCTAGGGCTTGGGCTAAGACTACGGTGCCGGAGTCTGCGGCTGCTGCTGCCGCTCGCCTTGCTCCTCTTGCTCTTCTTGTCAGGAACCCTCTTGCTGTGCTTCTTGGTGCGCTTGCGGGGCGGAGATTCAGAACTAGAGGAGGAGCGGCTGTGACGGCGTCGCCGGCGCTTACTGCGTGAAGACCGGATCTTCTTGGGCTCGGCATCATCCTAGTAGCAAGTAAAAAAAAGGGGGAAATTCAGTCAGCAGGGGGTTTTGGGACAAGATACAGCAATATACACGGTTGAAGAATCGGCGCCTCAATTTGACAGTTAATTTCATTTTGGCGTGGCTTCTGAATTCAGGGCTCCTCTATTCTAATTGTCATGAATGAACACATGAAAGAATGGGCATCTTAAACGAGGTGAAAAAAACACATGATCCTAATCGATGTGGAAGAATTGTGAATCTGGAGTACGGGTACAGTAAAGCAGCAGTTTTTTTGTCGACTCATATCAATAAAAAAAAGGAAATTTTGTTCTCAAGAACCGGAGGTAGGTATACCCTAGCTAGGTTTTAAGAAACCGACCGGAGTGTAAAATAAAAGGAGAAAGATGGATATGCGGGCCGCGATGGTTACCTCGGCGGCGGCGGATGCCTTGGCCTTCATGAGGCGGGCGCCGGTCCGTCGGCAGGGGGCAGGGCAACTGGAGCCTGGAGGAGAGCGGGACAGAAGCACGAGGGGAGAGAGAGCCAGAGAGAGGGTGAGGGAGAGGCGAAGTGAACCTGGAGGAGTGGAGATGGATCGATCGACGGCCGACGGAAGGAGAGGAGGAATTCGGGCGGCGGCAGCACCTCCGTGTCCCTGCTGGCCGGGCCGGGCTTCTCTTTTCTTGGCTGGGGCTGGGGGCCAGGCCACACGGGCTCTTCTCCTTTTGGTGGATAAAGGGAAAGGAGCCCAGGATTCCCGAGTCCCGACAGGTGGGGACACCTCTCTTTTGGATTTTCCACTAAAAAAAAACCTCTCTTTTTTATTTGGATTGGATTTGGACAGACGTTTCGGTATACTCCTATGTTTGTGAGCAAATTGCCAACCTTTTTCTTTCCGAAACGAATTTCGAACTTTTTTGTCTTTTGATGAGACGAAATCCTCAACTTTGTATATTCCCTGCGTGTGATATGGCTATGTATGAATAAAAATGTCTCCTTCTCCCATGCCAAGAGTGTGACACCATCGGTGTTACATCATAAATCATCTACTAAAACATATCATGAGCATCATGTTTATGTGTTAATGCATATAATAAAGTGTGTAGATCAATTTATATAACTCAAAACGATCAACAAAAATACGAAACAAAAGTTGATTCAATAGTCATGTTATATCACTTAGGGTTTAAAACTAATTTTTATTAAGCAAAAATGCTATAGAACATGTATGTGATACTTAAATAAAGTTTGAAGTACAAACTTTGTAGATGACAATAAAATACTTGCGGTCAAAAAATGATATTACTAGCTAATATTTCCACTAGCTTAGAAATCGCAAATGGAAAACAAATCCAGCTCAAAAACTTAGAAATTTTTAAGTCTGTCGACAGCTAGACATTGCTATGTTTAACAATTTATTGTGAGAGATTGGGTTAAAGGGTTGTGTAGTGTTATAGCTTGATTTGGTAGTGTCATGTGCCATCTTGAGCATGGTGAAGACGGTTTAAGTTTAGGAGCAACCGTTTGGTTGTGTTGAACGCTTTAAAATTCGTGCACAACACTTGTTTCGGTTGCTTGGACGTGTGGGTGCGGTCACCATCGTGTGGAGCCTCGGCACCACATGGTCCAATGAAGAAGTGACATGTGATCCAACCGCAACATGACACGTGTGCCTATAGAAAACTAACAAGTGAAATAACATGAACACGACACGTGGTCCAATAAGAACCTGAAACGTGCCAGAACCAGAGATGGACACGTTGTGCAATAAGAAGGTGATATGTATCCGAACCATCTCCAATGCGACCGGCTATAGCATGTACACGTAGAAAGCATCTCCAACGAAAGCACCCACCAACGTGGCAAACCCCTGCCACGCACGCCAAAACAGTTCTATAACGTTCTGTTTTCGTCACAAATCAAGCCACTTCTATGACGTTTTGCTAAAATCGTCATAGAATTTCAAGTGCGACGACGACTTCTATGACGAAACGGTTTTTGTCATAAAACTGAAAATACGACGAATTTGGCTCATTCAGTGACGAAAGATGATCGTCGTAGAAGTGGATATTTCTACTAGTGCATAGAACCTATATGCAAACAACATATGCAAGACTATTTAATCACACCTATGGACAGCACACAAACTAACCCTACACAGGGCATCTATGAACAGAGCACATTTTTAGGAAACCAACAAAACTTTTTTGACGTTTTTCTAAATTTCTACACTTTTTGGCAAATTTTCCAAGTTTTCCCAACAAGGAGAAAAAGAAAAACGAATTTCTCCCTTCGTGGGCTCACGGCCCGTGGCCGCTGCCCAAACCTTCAATGTGACACCTAGGCACGCACGCATCGCCACGCCAAGCACAACCCACGACAAAAGGCCGACGCGAAAGGGGGGGTCGAGCCCAGTGTGCAGCGCCCCATCGCTTGAGCCGCCCCCACGTGGGCGCAAGCCCACCACAGCTTTGGTTTGGACCGCGAGCAACAAGGCCAAAAAAAAAAAAGTTTGCCAATATGCCGAGGCCCCGTGGCGAATTTTTACTATTTGGCCCTTTTTTCGAAAGTTTCTCACAAATAGGCCCTTGGCAGAAAGAATTCCGGAAATGGACCGTTGGCTCGGCGCCAGAGTGATCGGCGAGCTGGCTGCCACACCTGATCCTTTGGCGCCGAGCTCCCGGCACTTGAGGAAATGGCACCAGTGAAGGCTCGGCGCCCCATCACTCACTCGCCGAGCCTCCTAAATATCTCGCCGCCCCACCTTTCTTCTTCTCCATCTCGCCTTTAGCCGCCCCTCAAATTAAATTAGGGCATGCCTTGAAAATCGCCGCCTCCACCTAGTCTAACTTTGCATTGCGCTGGCGCGCCACACCTGTGAAAATGCTAACACCATACACATGCCCACCCCATTTACAAAGGAGGTGGTGTTTCTTGCCAGCGTCATGCCCGCCATGCCTATTGGCGTTGCTCCTCGCCTGAGCCCACACCACGCACCCGTTGTGCCCTCGCTGTTTGATTTATTTATGTGGGTTGCCTGTGGGTTGCGCCATGTCATGCCCGCCCACGCCCCACCGCCCGCCAAATTTACCTTAGCCTCGCCTTGGTCTCCACCGGCGCCCTCGGCCTCGCCCGCCCCCCTCCACCACCTTCGCCTCGCCTCGCGCCTTGCCGCCGTCCACCACCACTGCCTCGCCTCCTCCCCCCGCCCGCTGTCGAGCCGGACTGCTGCATGAGCGCCGTGAAAAGGTCCTTGTTGGTTTTGGTAATTGGTGACAACCTAGGTGGACTAATTGTGTTTATGTGAGATACACAGGTGATTAGTCCACAGTACATGTGTATGAGCAACATATGCCATGGAGGTGAAAATGGCTTGGAGATATTGCAAAGCTCACACATGTGATGATGAAGGAGCTTATTGCACATGAGACATGACATTGAGTCATGTGATCAAGGTGGAGAAGATCAAGACAAGACTTGGCTTGATGGACCGGTTTCATGGTTAGGTTTAATTAAGCGTGAAGGGCAAGTCAAAGGCTTTGGAGTGATGGACATGGCGTGGCGGTGACGCTTGAGCAAGACTTGGCGCCGATGGATGATAGCAACGGTGAAAAGCAAGTAGAGTCAAGATCGATGAACCAATATGATCATGTGATGATATGAAGTGGATCATATCATTGTTGATCGTGTTGGTGCATGTGTTACATCGACATTGAAGGAGATGGAATGGAATGCATAAGGCAAAGGTATAACCTAGGGCATTTCATTTCACCGGTCATAGGTGTGTAGAAGTTTATGACCGGGTTTAGGATAGATGGCCGTACTATCAAGAGGGACAAACTTGTTTGCATATCGGTCATCTAGTGCCACTTTGTTCAGTGATCTAACTTTGCATTGTCACTAGGATCGAGTGGCGTGGCAAGTTGAGTGGCTAACATCCTTTGGAAAATGATTGTGAAAATGCTAACACACATACACATGGTGGTGTACACTTGGTGGTGTTGGCACATTTACAAAGGAGGTGGTGTTTGCAGGGGTGAGATGGGTGTGGCTTGATTCGGCGCTTTCGGAAATATAGAATGCCTATTTTCTATTGCGCCGGATGCAAGTTCTTGTGGTTAGCACATTGGAGCAAGGGTGATGAAGTTAGAAGTGAAAACGAGTTAGTCGCAAAGATCTTTGGCGCCTCTCAACCCACATGTCAACCGACCGGACGCTGATCTGAATGCACCGACAACGACGATAAGCGGCATTGAAGTGTGTCCGGTCAGCCGACGATCGATGACGCAGAAGTTAAAATGGAGTGTGACCGACGCGGTTATGTAAGATACGCGTCCTTTTTAATCAATAACTTATGTGTGTGGTGGACGCGTCCGGTCGAGGTCGGTACTCTTTATCGAACGACGATCGACGCCGGGGTTTCAGCGTTAGGTCGGTTGAAAACTCGCCGCGTCCGGTCAAGTCAAGTGACCGTTGGAACCGGACACGTGGCCGTCTGCGAACGACCGGACGCCGAGGTCCAGCTGTCTGGTCAACACGACCGAGCGCGTCCGGTCGGCCCCGACCGCTGCCTGAAGGGGTAACGGCTAGTTTAGCCCTTTGGGGCTATAAATAGAAGTGGCCCTCGACCATGGCTGGAGCTGAGCACCTCAAGGGACTTAGTGTCCATGCTTGTGAGTGCTTGGGAGCCCTCCATCACACACATACTTGATAACGATCATCCGATTGTGTGAGTGAGCGATTCTAGTGCGATTGCATCGTGAGGTTGCATCGAGTGGCACTAGGTGATCGAGTTGCGAGCCGCTGGTGCTTGTTACTCTTGGAGGTTGCCACCTCCTAGATGGCTTGGTGGTGGTCTCCGTCGAAGCCCGCAAGAAGCTTGTGCGGCGCTCCGGAGAAGTGCTTGTGAGGGGTACTTGTGCTCGCCCCGCGGGAGTCGTGAAGAGCAACTTTAGTAAAGCGTGTCATTGAGCTACCCTCACTCAAGGGGTAGGTTCTTGCGGTGCCCGACGTGCGGGCTTAGCGGGTGATGCTAATTAGCCACCAAACCACCAAGTGGGCGGTCGACACAACGGGGACTAGCGTGTTGGCAAACACGTGAACCTAGGGAGAAAAATCATCGTGTCAACCTTGTTCTTCCCGTTGGTTTGCATCCCCATTACACAAGCTTGCAATTACTTTTATATATCTTAAGCTTGTGTAGTTGCTCTTGTAATTAGTTAGCTTGTGTAGCTTACTAGTTACCTTCTTGCTTGTGTAGCATAGAAGTAGCTCCCTTGCGTGGCTAATTTGGTTTTAGTAACCTTGTTAGTCACATTGCGTAGTTTGTGTAGCTAAGTATTTGCGCTCTCTAATTAGGCATTGGTTGTCTTGTTATTGAGCTTTGCTAGTGAGCTTAGTTGGCTTTGTGCTTTTGCTTACTAGCATGTGTAGGAGCTCCCTTGTTGCTTAAAGTACTAG